TCCACAACACAGTTTGTAGCTAGGGCAGCAGTACCTTCATTAACTACGTAAATAATGTTACTGATATCAATATCTGCCCTATTGAAACTCTGCCGTTTTAATAAAATGATTCAAAGCACAGTCTGTTTTGAACTCACTTCGCTGCCGCTTTTTAAAACGTTTGGCTTTTGATCCTGCTGTAACCCTGAAGGAGTGCTGAGGTGTTTACCGGTTATTGAAAATGACGCTAAATTTGCTTTAAATGCCATGGCTGTGCCAAAATTAGAAGTCGATGAAGCATCTTATCTAATGTAAGTGTGAACATGTCCCAAAAAGCTATGACCTATAGCAATTGATCATGACTATAAATCTGTTCCAGTAGTATCCAATAAAGCTAAGTGAATGGCTATATTCAATATAGTTACATATAACTTGTGTTTCCAGCTAGCGTTTATTTGAAACCTTTTCATACTTTTTTTTTAACTGTAAAAAAAAAAAAAGAAAAAAAAACATTAACTTGAGCAGAGGGAAGGCATTAAAACACCTGCCACCAAGTTTATGATAAGGAAAATATACAGCCCACTTCCTGTAATGACGCATAAATTTCCTGCCAACTTGTGGTTTGCGCCATTATACCATCCCACTGCGTGTCTGTGGGCGTCAGAATAGAAAGATTATGGAGTCCCATCAGTGACAACTGGGTGAGCCGGAGATGCCATTATCGTATTTCCCCAGGGACGCTTCGAAAGAAGTACTGGCTGGCACAGCCTCCTCTAAGGAGAGAGGAGGAGTCAGCTGTGTTGTAGCTCACAGGCTGTCACGGCAATGAGGAACTCCGCTCCGCCCACTTAACATGAGGCCAGAGGTCAGTGGGCCACTGAAGATGTGCGCCCCTCACCAGCGCTGCTGTTGGTGTCAAAGAGGCAAATCAAGGGCCTTGTCGTTCACCTCGGTTTAAAAACTCAAATGGTCACGCTTGGCTCCACCATCTCACAAAATGTAGAGCCGTGGGGAAGCATGATTGGCAAATGAGGCAGTCGGGGGAACACTTTGCTCTCTAATCCCTGGACAAAGTCAAATAAATAGAGTCTCCGTCAGCATGGCTGTCTGGCCTCTTCAAGTCGGTGCCGTTTAGATTATTTGACCTAACAAGCATCTCTCATGTCACTGACTCACCTACGGATTTGTTTTTCTGCCTCATATCTGATTCAGTCTCCACTTTCTCTGCTAATTCTGTAGACAACACCCGACACTACCCTCCTGCACGGCTGTTTTGGCCCCACCCCTTGACACACACTCACACACACACTAACACCGCTCGTGAGGTTATGCCGTCTCTCTCTGACCCCGTCTTGTTTCTCCCTCTGTGGCCTCTAATGGTTTATTTTGTGTCAAACCTAATTCTAGCTATACTCCACGTGATTGAGAAGCGAATTTTTCCAATTTTCTGCTTTTTTTTTTTCCGCACACACTCATTATTATCGTTACAAACTGCCCAAAGTGTTTATTAGTGTTTTCAATTATAGCTTGTCCGAAAATATGCACCACGTAAGAAAATGTCAATAACACAGACCTGTGAGTACCTAAAAGTGTGCGCTTTATTTGCGTTTTCAATGCCAGCTGTCAGAGCCTGCTTGTGCCGAATAGGGAGTAGTTTGAACTTTGAAAGTGTGTTTTCTTAAGGTCAGAGACGCACAGGGCTCACGGTCAGTGACAGCAGAAGTGAGTACATTTCTTGACATGTTCATCTTCATTAGAAAATTATACATTCAGAAAACAAGTTGTGCATTTACAATTTACATGCTCTGCAAAGTATGGCGTTTTTTTTTTTAACAACATTTATTTATCATTTAAATTGACAAATACCAAATTGTATTTTGTTAGGTGCTTTTAAAACATCTGAAGGGACAAAAACATTCTGTTATTGCTTCTCGGTCGTAAAGAGTGACAGTCTATTTGCCTCATCTTTTTTGCACGGATGAGCATTTGACTTGTGTGGTTGACCCTCGGCTTCCCAGACCTATATCATGTTGTTTCTCCCAGTGTTTCCCAACCATCATAAGTCAAGAGACCGCTTTTACATTTGAAAAATCTCATGGAACAGCACCAGACCAAAATGTCAAAAACAAAATGTATGAATGCTGAAATAATGACGATATCACCTCGATTTACTCACAAATGTAAATCTTACACCAATACAGACACACACAAGTTTATACTAAATTCCCAAATGTTTACTTCCTCTTGCGGTTTGCCACCAGCTGGGCTCGAGAGTTTTTTGTTTGAGCTTCTTGTCGGGCTTTATGCCGAGAATCCATCTTTTCATGCAAAAGACTGAATGTGAGATTTTCAGTGTTGTATCAACCTGACTACTTGCTTGTCCATCTGTTGGTCAAGCTGGACTGGCGAGGCTATTCCCTCCTCTCCATGTAATTAAACTGTCTGGTGGGAGGAGACTACAAAGTGCAATCTGGCTGGTCTGTCCACATGGGTGCAGGAATTAGCAGCTGCTGCTGTCTTCTAATCAGCTGGGGTAACAATAGTTGACCCCTGGACAGTAATTGAATAAGATTCTCCTTCTTGTATTATTCAGAAGCCATCCTTCTAACTTGCGTCTTAATGGTTGGCCTTTGGTGGCCGTTCTGTTAAAGAAAGATAAATTAGCTTCTCCTCCTCTATTGCTAATATTGATTTGGGGGTTAAAATTGATCCAAATAAATGGAAGGGATCATGAACTGTATTTTTAAAGGTTATCAGCCCAATTTAAAAAAAAAATAGGTGCAAAATGTAGGAATGTGTTCATAGTTAAATTGTAAGCCAGTTATTTCCTCTGTTTAAGCAGGGGTGTCAAACTCCGGTCCTGGAGGGCCGCTGTCCTGCATGTTTTCCAAGTCTCCCTGTTGCAACACACCTGATTCAAATGAACAGGTTCAATGTCAGGCTTCCGCAGAGCTTGCTGATGATCTGTTCATTTGAATCAGGTGTGTTGCAACAGGGAGACTTGGAAAACATGCAGGACAGCGGCCCTCCAGGACCTGAGTTTGACACCCCTGGTTTAGTGCATAATGAATTCATATAATATTCTTGCTGCTCCACCTGTCGTCGTGTGTTTCTGAACTAGGTGTTGAGTGTATTGCAATTAATTGCGAAGCTAACAATGCAAATGCTAACCGTGGAATGGACGGCAGCTTCATTCACTTACAGACATCGAAAGCAATGTTAATTAAAATGTCATTCTTTAATTTAAATGCTAACTACAAGTGGATGTACAGGAAAGGAGAGAAAAATCTGGCTTCTTTGAGAGCACATACATTTTGTCGTTTGAACTTAATCCTTTCCAGCCAATTTCGTCCATTTCCACAACAGATATATCTGTCATCAGAAGATACTAAGCTAGCCGAGCTCATTCTCTGTCTGTTTTTTACTGGAGCCAGCCAGAACATGGCAAGTCAGGTACCATTTAGCCCATTCTGTACTTTTTAATAAGCTCCAATGAAAGAGCTGCCTCACATTGGGAGCTTTTAGGTTGGCGTGTTTGAGAGGAAAGTTAAGAGAAGGACTAAACTCTGTGTCTAAAACCCAATGCATTTGGGGTAGGACATTCTAGCTCGTCCTCTTGAGTTATTTCGAAATGGAAACCTAGCTCAAACCGTCTTTAGGACATTTCTCGTTATGTTCAAGCATAAGAGTCTTTGGCATGCTTATCCAGGTTTTTGTGTCAAAACCGGAAAGATAGTTTGTGCGCAACACCGGAATCGAGGAGCATTTGGCCTCCTCGGTTGGCATGAGTGACAGATGAAGATCTTATCTGTAATTTAGCAAAGCGCTTGGCTCTCTAATGTGTTCAGGCTTGTTGGCAACTTACCATCTAGTGAACAAAAGCGCTGTGAAGTGGTTGGATATTAGCGCTGTCATAGCACTAAGGAGCCCGTAACCTCATTAGGAGGAGGGGTGACCTTCAATGTAACACGGTCCACTGAAGTCGTGCAAAGTAGGTCCTTCAGCAGCAAACCCCTACAGCTATTTTCTCCCGATCAACCTAGACACAAATACAGTCGATGGTGTGATCACCTTGGTTTTACCCAACCTTCCAGCCACCATTCAATAATCAACAATATTATATAACAATCGTCAAATTCATCTTCACATTGAAGTCGGTACACAAAAAAAAACATTGCAGTGTTAATCTACGGTCAAAAGTCTAAGATTGTGGACACAGGTGTCTGGAATTATTTTTCTTTTACCAAGCGGAGAACCAATGCTTGAGATTGTGCTGTACATCCACTGAGTGCAAAGACGAAAGCTGATGTTTGGCAGGAAGATTAGACAAAAACTACGCAGCACATTTTTTGGGCATATTCTCAACCTCCTAAAATATCACTCCAAGTGACTAAATGTATACTTTCATTTCAGGGGTAGAATTGAATGATCTGTTGAACTAAGGATGTAACAGATTTTAGGAGAGGTGGCCAGTATCCTGAATACCGGTAATTTTTTTAATCAAATTTGATTTAGGCCATTATTTTTCAGAGGGTGACTATATTCATCTTTTGGATGTTCAATTCATATTTGTTTCGTAATTGGTATGTCCCCATCATATCACTTCATTCGCGTTGTACTTCGCAGTACCATGTGCGTTACTGTGAGCAATATTTTATACTCTGTTGACTTACTAAATGGTATATTGCATCAAAAGTTTTTCAACTATTAGCAGAACAGAGGGCTTTTGCGTTTGTGTGCGTGTGTGCGTGCGTGCGTGTCCTCGCAACTAAGGCTATTCATTGTCATGTACCGCCTTGTACTTTTCAAACTGCCAGTTTGCCCTTGTTTTTTTGACTCGGCACACTTTGTTGAGACCACCCTAGTCTTAATCAAAGCATGGTCCCAACAGTGCCATTTGCCCTCTATTGAAACTTGATTGCAGGTGGGTCAATCTATTTGTTTGAGCTCCAACGGGGGCTATACTTTGTTTGCAATTTCAATGCCTCGCCCCTTTCGAACAAAGAGGCTCCTGCCCTCGTGAGAGCCATGTAACCATGCCCGTCCAGTCTGTGCTTCACTCTCTTAATTGTACCTTTTTGTTTTTCTCTCTCTTGTTGTCTCTTTACTTTTTGCTCCTTCAGAACACCGCAGACCAAGTAGCCTTCCAAGTGGGCGGCGGCTTATCAGCTTTGGAGCAAATCCTGCAAGTCGTCACTGCTGCCTCCTCACCCACCGCCCTTCCCCGTATTCCTTACAAGTTAGTACCACATTTAAATTGTGCTTGGATAATGCACTTTACCGAATGCATTTAATTTTCAGTTGCACACAATTTATTAGTGTATTTTACACCACTTGTTTTCCGCTTGCTCAATTCGCAGGTAGGTGACTTTAGTTGTCAGAAAAAAGGCTGTTTTGCCTGAAAGTTAAATCCTTCAACCATGCTCCAAAACACTATGCGTAGCAATGTTTGAAATATTGATAATGACATCACCTTACCGTTTCTTTGCAATTTGTGCTTCTCTTTCATCCCTCCTGAACACTTTTCATTTAATACTTTGACTGGTTTATGCAGAGAAACCATTCAGTTACCGTTTCACTTTGTGGCTTGTATCTTTTGGCTGACCTCAGTGATGTCACACATTTTTTTATTATTCGTTTGTCCTCATTGCTGTAATTCAGTGAGTTTATCGCAGCAAATCAGTGGTTCATGGTCGCTTCTCAATAAATATACTTAAAATGCATCAATGAGTAACAATGTGTTCACAGAAATTTGAAAGCGGTTCCATTTCACCAATCACTCTGGCAACCTGTCCTATTTGCCATTTAGAGGTCAGCGTATGTTTGAGTTGTTGGTCTGGCGTTTGCCAGGCCTTCCGGTAGATAATGTTAGAGACACAGGCAGCCCTTCTTCCTAGTGGAACTCTGTAATGGAGCAGAATGGCCTTCCTCTTCCATTTATTAGCATTTAGTGGTCTCCGAATCCCTGCTAATGGAGAAATTCTTTTATTTATAAGGCTTTTAAGGTCCTCACTTGTCTATTGATTTTTGGGCAGTGGTTCTAATCAAAAATCCTAATCAGGGGGAATCCTAGACAGAGGATTTCTGTGTTTAATTCAGTTAACCATGGTTTGACTCTCTCTTTACTAACCCGTAACATTGTATAGAAAAGTCTACCGTCTTCTTTGAGTTCTTAATAGCAGAACCTCTGCCAAAATAAAGAAATCTGATAGCAGTAAGTATGATAGGCAGTCATACAGCGCCCCTTCATCCAAGGCCCAATAGCTTTCAAAATTGGTCATTGGTCAATTTTCATGTTTCACTGGCTATATTTCAAACGTGGTTTATCTGTACCTTAGATAAATGTTAATAAAAAGTACGATGCCCCTTTGGCCACAACAAAGACGATGTAACAGGACAATGTTCTGTGGCAATGTCACAAGACTACTGGCTCATGACTACCTCTTGTAACGTATAATAAATATACCTGTAAGGTGGAATGGTAATTTTGTGTTATATTGCAATGTCAGCGTAACAATATTTAGTTTTTACCAGTACTGCTGATAACTGACAAATAGAAGTAGTCAGCTGTCTACTTGTAACTGACCTTCATCTGATTGGCCACACGTCATAATGGACCACCATGTAGACACAAGCCCCAGAGTGTGTGTTGCGCTATCAGTTTACAAGTGATGCTACCATATTGATCGCCTCCCCTTGCCAGATGAGCAGAGCAATTTTACAACCCCAAAAGGATGGCAACTGCGGTGATGCACTGGCCATATTTCTCCCCAGGGATGTTCCATCCTGTTAGCATTACATTAATGAGCTAATTCCTCTGCAAACTTTCACTTATGTCCTGGTGTAACCCGGTGTTGACTGCTGGGGCATCAAGTTAAAATTTTGAGATTTAACATACACAAAAAGGAGAATGGACTCATTTCTCAGTGCACGACAGTGCAGTCTTGAATAATAATACTTCCTAAGTCTTTCTCTGATCATTGATCTCATTGTAAATGTATCTAATACGTGATTAATACTACTTACATTTGAATAGACAGATATTGTTATTATGGTAACTTGATCAGGGGATCTGCATCAAAGGGTTTAGGAGTCCATAGACATGCGTGTTAACCCAATTTGTATTTGCACCTCTTGTCTCATATGACGTAGTGTATCCTGTGAAATTAGACCTGCTGCCGGTGGCTTTATTTCAGGATGTTTTCCACCATTTGTTTGAATGTGTCCGTGACGCTGCGTTACGGCTCATCAGATCACCCCACCGCCCCCTAACCTGGCCAGCTTTGGGCAACAACCAGAGTCGATGTCCTGGAAGCACTCAGGGTATCGGAGTGATCAGCAGCAGAATCAAATTAAATGTCATTTAGATAGCAGTGAATGAAGGGATTGTTTGACAGCACAAGGAGCTGGATTTCCTCCTCACCTTTTCTATTTTGGCTTAGGATTCGTTTTCTTCCCCTGAACACAAATTTGCCCTGTTGAAGAGGCGGTGACTCAACCCGATCTGGAAGTTGGTCAGATTTCTGCCGGTTTACTTCAGCCAAGCTTGACTGCTCACATAAGAAGCGTATAGAGAGTGCGAAATGTGAGACTGGAGGAGCACAGATCCCAGAGTAGATAAATCGAGGCAGTGACAAAAAGAGCCTTTTTGCATGTTTGCTGTCTTTCATAAATGGCATTGAGAGATCTTTTTGATGTTGATGCTACAAAAACCTAAATTACATGCCAAAGACATAAGTTTCATTAATGTCTACTTTTTAATTCATATCAATTATTAAATTGGTTTAAACTCTGAGTTGTTCTCGTCTTCTTATTGAAGCGATACGCTAACAGAAATTGCGAGGGGAAAAAAAACTCCACCTCCCCACACCTTAACCCTATCATGCGAAAGATCAGAGGCCACCCAGGCTGCTACAGATTGGGGTTGAAGTTGATCAGGTGTGTGTCATCCCTCCACTTCTCATCCACATTTCTCGAAGGATTTGCCCCACAAAGCTTCACAGGTAAAATGTTAATCCCTGTTTTGTGAGGTTAATTTGGCCATCAATGTGCAAATTATCGCTTATTGGTTATTCTCTCAGAAATCTCCTGATTTAGTCAGAATTGTAATTTTATAGCGCAATTGCGATCATTATCTGGGCTCAGCGCATTAACAGAATTGCTCTGGTCACTTTTGGGAACATGCAAAGAAACAATCAGAACCAACGTGGAGGTGCGACTTAAGGAATGTTGCCTCCAATGGTCAGCTACCACGCCTTTGAGAAACATGAGACAAGATGGTTTAGCACTTTACCAAATTGTCTCTCAAAATCTCTTGACTGGAGCCGTCACGAATTGGGATAGAGGGCGGCCTATCTGGTGTCTGCCTCATCAAGCTCAATTAGGTGGGAGGAAACCAAAGACAGTTCGCTGCGACGCTTCATTGTACAAGCTGGTGTAAGGGCGTAAGACAAACATGTCTTTGATAGACTCCCCATTTGTTCGGAGATGACCAAAGATAAGCCCGATTAGCTGCGTTACAAAGCAATTGCATGCTCATTACATTAGCAGGTGGGGGAGTGGCTTGTTAATGCCAAAGGTCTAGATTGGCATCTGGAGAACAGAATCAATTTTGTTAGTCGAGGAGAGAGGAAATAGACATACAGTTAATCAAATTACATTTAAAAAATGTCCTCTTGTTTACCATTCATGAAAATAATAAATCTAATGATCTTTTTGCTACTTACTAGGTCTACTTTATAGGATGTACTGTTTACTCCACCATTTGGAAAGAAGCACACACAACATGCCTATAGTACACTTGTTACTGGCGCTATCATGGAACACACTGAACTTGTTGCTGTGTTGATAGCTTTTTGGCAGAAAGAAATGTTTTAAATTCAGACTTCTGTGATGTTCCTCCTATGTCATATGAGGCTACTCGACAAGTTAAAAAAAATCTTTGTTCTCATCATGGTGACATCAAGCCCTTTAGTTGACTCATGTCCATGGCTACCACAGTTTGGATTTTGTAAGATGTGTGCAGCATGTGATTTTATGATTTCATTCAAACTGACATATACATTTTTTCCCCATCAAACCAAGATGATCATCTTACCAGTGTCAAATGAGAAGAACGCCATGTTGGCAGATGGCCGCTCACACCTTTGTTCTATTATTTTTGTGTGTATTTTTGTTACTTCCTGCACCATAGTGCATGTTGGCATCAGACTTAATGTTTGCCACTGTGCTGTGTCTTAGTTTAGATAAACGTGTTAACATGTTATGAAAAGCACAAGATGGCTGGCTGCTGCTTGAGAATTCTAACAAAGTTACTCTGTGACTCGGGTCTCGCTCAACCTAATATATTTTCCTTGCCTTATGCCAGCGTGGCTTGACTGAAAACGAGCAGCAGATGTGAAGGCTTTGGTAGATATCAAAATGTTTACCAACTGAAATTACCATGGCCTGCTTTTTGAGCACTAGAGAGACAGATTCCCTTTTCCCACTGTGGAGATAGGACACGCCATGTTGCCAATCGCTAAAATGGACAGTTGACAGGAAATATTAACTGATCAAATGGAGTGGGGGTGATGTTGTTGTCACCGCAGAAGGATTGGGCAGTTATCTGAGGCATCAGTCTTCTTTGGAGTTCGTTTTAAGCACACATAATACAGAAGCAAGCTGACAGGCTTATCGCTGGAAGCTGCCTGGGGCTCGCAAGGAACTGCTCAGAACAGCTTTATCTCTTCAGTGGAAATACCGCAAAATCTCACCCGAGATGGGACTGAGATTGTGTTCTGCTGCTTTGGGGAAGTCTTGTGCGGGGAGCCTCCTCTCACATTGCCAGAGATACACCTTTGAATACAAATTTTACTCTTAAGGAAGCACAAATGCAGAATAGTGTGTTTAGTTTCCTGATGAGTAAATAAGTTCAGTGTGAATGTATCATCAGTTCACAAAAAATCTGTTTACAAACAAACTTTTGGGTGTTTTTGGAACGGATTAATGGCATTTCCATTCATTTCAATGGGGAGAGTTGATTTGGATGTGCGCAATTAAGAGTTTCATAGTCACGCAACGAATTAAACGATTAAGTCGTGGTGCCACTGTATTTTGTTTTCCTCAATCTATGATGATGTATTCATGATTGCTCTTGCCTTTCTGTGTTAGGTCCCTTTGTGTTGCTGTGAATACCTACTTTTCGACATGCTCCTGCTGTCCCCTCAACTGCTCCTATGTGCTGTTCAGCAACAAGATCGCTCTCCTCATGGACTTACTGCTTCACCAGCTAACGGTATGTCAGTAAAGGGCTTCATTTGTGAGTACAGGTACATTGAAATTAGATCTTTTTTTTTTTCAATACTCATCCTTTTTTGTGATGCTTTTGTTTGATGGTGTCCCGTGAGATTCCTCGTAAAATCGGTGTCCAGGTTATTATTTTGGTACCCTGTACCACTTTTTTAGGATGAAAATACATTTTCAGTATATGAAGCTCTTATTAGTGCTTAATGTGCAATAGCCCATGCATGTTTCTTTTAAGATCCGGTACCATATTTTGATTGTTCAGTGGAACCCTTCAGTATTTAAAAAGAAAAAAAAAACATGGGAGAGCCTCTTCACAAAGAGTATTTGCGTGCACAGTCAGTCAGGCGGCTTTGTAATTCGTCAGGTCTTTTTCTTTCATCACCCTGTAAGAAGTCAACTTCATCGCTCAGCAAACATCTCCTGGTGCCAGCTAACTGAGCCATACTCGCAACACAGACGGGACAAGTTGCAGGCACTAGTTTGTCATACATGCATGAACTCTTTAGGGGTTTCTTACTTCTGTTCTGAGTTCCAATTCAAAGCAGTCATATTTCCTTAGGGCACAGAGAGAGAGGCTGACATCTGTGCTTCGGTTTATATAAAACACATCGCAGCAGTTGCTGCACTGACTGACATGTCTAGTAGGGTTACAACTGACATATTTTTTCCTGACCGAGCAAATTGTTTGCGTTCTGACACATTATTTGCATTGGATGTTGTTTAACACTTTCCCTGTGCTCCGTATGCGTCTTGTGTCCTGGTATGCACCGTGCACACGACTGAGTACGTCACAGGGTTTGACTTGCTATGTTATGAGTAAATCTCCTCTTAAATTAGATTTTTTGTGAATGTCGGCATTGGTTTAAGTTTCCCTACACTGGCAGCATTCAGCCCAGCCATTAGAGCCAGTCAGAGGTTTTAGCGTTACACATTGCTGTGTAAAACCTAACTTTCTAGACAATTATGGAAACCTACAATGGTGAGAAAAGCTTATGGTGCTATATAAAATTTTCTAATATAGTTTAAATTGCCATCAATGTATTGGAAAGGGTATTTTGTAAACAAAATTGAGTATTTCGTACTTAAATTTCTCTGCAGCAGTGCACTGATCTGTCTTTGCCTGTCTGAGGTCTGCACTCCAGCTCATTAAAATGTGTGTAAAATGTTATATTTCATGTTTTGTTTTTCACATTTAGCAATGTTTGCATCATTTACATGTTGGCCTCGGTGTGATCTCTTTATGTTTTTGTTTTGCAGCTTTATGTTCCGGATGAGGATAAGTCCATCTTTGGCCGCAGTGTTAACAAACAAGTGTTTGAGGGTTTTACCACCGGCCTATTGCAGACCACAGCTACCGTCTTGGGGTGCCTGTCTCCGCTGACCTCAGAGTCAGGAAAAACGGAAAACACGTTGATTTCTTCGCCAGATCCCAAGGTCAAGAACAGCGCCACAGAGTCCTTCAATATTCGCACACAAGACCTAATCAGGTATTTCCCTTCATGTTTATTTAGAAGTACATTTTTGTGACTTTATATTCTCTTAACTGGGTGTAAGACTTGGTCAATCTCTGGATCTTCCGTAGCATACCGTGTGATGTATTTGCTGACAAAATGTGAGCCGCCTTGGGGAGGAAAAAAAACAAAACAAATGGTGTCTTGTCAGAATGGGAGCAGTGTGAGAATGAGCGTGTATTCTGGCATTTTTCCAACTTATACTCCATGCACACACTGAGTAACACATTTCAAGTAGGATCAATTTCGAAAGGAGTGGGCACAAAGTAGCATAAACAAAGAGCACTTGCAGGGCTTTGAAAGGTCCCCTTGAACCTGGCGTCGGAGCTCACCATGTGGATCTGGACTGTAGGAGGCAGCCTGGGATGGAGAAATGCGGGCTATGAGGAAAGGCAGGCCTGGCCCCATGAAGAAGCCATTGGAAGACTGCGTCCTTTCCACCATCCCTCCCACAAGCCATGATTCATCGTGTTGGAGCAGCTGCAAGGAACCACCACTCTCATCCACTGACCTAGTCGTAACCCTGGAGACAGGGGAGGGCTTGAGAAAAATGGCGTCGTCTCAGTTAATCCCAAGTATGAGCAGAGGATTTACCTCAACTGCCTTCTGTAATGTATTACTCAAGTGAGAAAGGACAAAAGATCAAAACATTTTTAGCTTTCTCTTTGACAATCTCATTATACCGCGCCATATATCAAATGGAAAGCGGCTCACAATTTCATTTCTGCTTATTACAACATTCTCAGTTTTCGTTTCAGTGCTTTTAGACCTTTGTCATAGCCTCGAATGTTTTCAGTTCGGGCTCATATGATGTGGCGCCAAGTGGCAAGTGCGACCACCAAGCAGCTTGTCAAACATTACGAAGACGTTGAACAAAGCAGTCAACGTGAGGATGGATCCTTTCAGCCACAGTCGGTCTGTGAAAGAGGAAGAAGTCAAAACAATTGGAATGGGTTCAAGTGTCGAATGGGCTGCAATGGAAGATCGGCATTGTCACCTGTTTTAAGGGGCCCCCCAATTGTGACCGACTAGTCATAGAGATACACTTCATGGACGGAAGTGTCAAGTCACCATGCAATTATACAAGCAGGTTCTTCACCCCAAATTCATCCAACCAAGTAATTCCCCAATCTGATTTCGCAGAATTGGAATAGAATTGCCCAAAACGTCTGTAAACGTTATGGATTGAATTAATCCATTCATGCAATTAAGCGCTGGAGTCACAACTACGCAAAGAGTCAAAGGCTGTGATGGCGAGTGACAGTACTCGAGCTGAGCACAAATATTTAGGCATACGGGGACTGCAGGAAGAAGACCCCAGGTAAGTATACAGAGACCCAAATCCTGGAAGGCACACAGCCCTCTAATGACACTATTAGGAGTGATTTGTGGCTGAAAGACCACAGGGAAACATGAGCATGAGACCTGCCATTGGCAAAGACAAATTGCAGATATCACAGTAATGGCAGTGGGTGGAGGGTTGAAGTGCGGTATTAGCTTTCCACTGCGGAGATGTGGAAGTATGCACAACAAGAAGCGTTTGTTTTCCGGAATTAAAGGTTCGGGATTTATTTTGTGAGACAATGAAGTCATCCTTGCTCCATTTGAGTGAACATTTAGGAACAATGTCCCCTAACCCGTGCATGTCTTTTCTCTTGTTGTGTTTCTTGCAGCTATGTGGTTAACATGGGTTTGATTGACAAGCTGTATGGGTGCTTTTTATCCATCCAAAGCCCTGTGGATGAACACCCCAAGATGTCTGCTTTCCTCCAGCAAGCCTCATCTTTGTTGTACAGCATGTGTAAGCTGTGCTTTGTCGTAACTGGACGGTAAGCATGTCCGTATCTCTGGCAGACACATCACATTTCATTTCCAATGACCGAGAGTCGAGTGTCTTCTCAATTCTTGGTCACTTAAGAACGACTCCCGTGGTTCCTAAAACAAAGGCGGTTGGTTCCTCTGTAATCAGCCGGCGGATCGTTTCCTCCAGCCAGCTAACTAAGCTGTCGTTACTGCCGATAGAGATAGGCATCTACTTGACCCAGCTCTCCGTCACTCACCATAAACCTTAGCTTGCAGCTTGGGGGGAGCCCACCCACATGTGCTACGGTGACCTCCCCTAAAGAGAGGTTCAGTGGTGCTGCTGACAGAGGCTAAGCATACAGTCACACCAGTGCACGTCAGCGCCAAAGTTCTTCACTTGAAAGCAACATTGTCCACAGTAGCTAGGGTGAGCTTTGATGTTACTGGGAATTAACTTAATGCATTTTGTGATGCCAAATATTGATATCAAATAGCATTATTAACTTAAGATTTTTTCCATGACTGCCTCGCCTCAGTGACAAGGAACAGAATGTTCATGTCGTTAACAGGTGTAAGAAGATTAAAAGTACATCAGTCATTTTTTTTCCACCAGATAGTAGAACACAAACAGCAGTTCCTATCAAGATGTGATTGAGAGCGTAGAAAACATATGCTGTGGCACCCAAGTTTAACAAAGCTTAGAGAAATATATTCGGAGCTTTTAACTATATTTTATATATTTGTTTTAATTACATCTTTTTTTTTTTTTTTTTTTTTTTTTTGCTGTACTGCAATGTCATGGGCACTCGCTTCAGGGAGAGGAAAAAAAATCCTGCTTTGCCAATGAACCTCATTCATTCACCATTATAGAATCCAACAGGCTTGGCTGTGCCACCACTGCGTCATGTAAGAGAATGTTCAGTGGCCATTTAGAACATTTAGCCCATGCCATTTGCTGTGTCTGGGGATTATAATGGCATTCAGAGGCTGTGTTCTAGCATAGCAGCATATTTCACACAGGGTCTGTTGGCTAACATCAAGTATCAGCACGCACTGCGGGTTCTTGCCAGAGGTCACACACCCTCCACTGTGCATGACAGCAGATCATGGCGGCTGCCGTAGAGACCTTTTTGCAATAATAACTTGAGGTGGTCAGAAAGTCCCGCCTAATTTGTAGGCATTTTGTTTTATTTATAAATAAATAAATAGTCTGTGTTTCTTGTTGGTCCATCCCGTAGTTAGTAACCTGCAAAAAAAAAGGTACATGGCTCTGAAAATAAGAGTGGCATGCATTTGATTGAAAACTTATCACCAAGTTGGGCAGCTCAGTATGTGCTGCTATTTTGATACTGTAGCCATACGCGCATTAGGTTTTGTCCTTTCAACGAGCTGTAAATGGGGGTGACCCGGGAGATCCAATTTGATCTTAATTAGTCTATTCTCATTAGTCTTCTTTTCTGTTATCGACCATGTATTTCCCGTCTCCTCCTCCTCAGTGGGTCCACTATATTTGACAACAAACGTCAGGACCCAACTGGGCTAACGGCCCTGCTGCAATCGACAGACCTAGTGGGAGTGGTGCACACGCTCTATTCCATCCTGCTGCACAGCTTCTCGCCGGAGTCCTCCTCTCAGAGTCAGGAACCTTACAGCCCAGGGGTTATCCAGGTGGCTTTGCAAGGCATCCGCTTCCTCAACAGTTTTGCCCTGCTTGACCTCTCGGCCTTCCAGGTATCCACAATGATGGTAGTTTTCCATTAACAAAGAAACTATTCGTAGCGCATGTCATTGCTATCAAAAAAGGAAACTGTTGCTTAATTTTTGTGTATTGTGCTTAGATTCTATAAAATTCTGGAGTTGAAGAAAGCATCATGCCCTCACCTAACTCAATAATCATTAAAAACAATCTCCATGCGTTTAACCACAGAAATAAAGACAACCACAAATATTTATCCTTCCCTGATCAAATAAATCTGTAAACTTGATACGATTGACGCCGGCTCACGTCGATGTCTGTTATAAGTGGAGTTTCTCTCCTCCCTGATCAAATAAATCTGTAAACTTGATACGATTGATGCCGGCTCACGTCTTGATGTCTGTTATAAGTGGAGTTTCTCTCCTTGGGACGAAAGCGACTTGTGGACATAAACACGGATGACCTCTGACCTGGGGTCTGTTGTCAGGATTGATTAGATCCCGGTGGGTCATCGGTTGGGAGGAGCGCAAGTGGATTAGCACTGTAAGCAGGGCCGTACATTACACAGCCACAGGAGGAGAAAGCGACAGCATCATTGTGCAGAGAAGGCTGGTAATGTACTTGAACTGAGTCTTTTTAACTCAGGGATCCTCAGTTTCCCGGTATTATTGTGTCATGGGATGGTTTCACAGAAAACAAATTTTTAACAGACCAGTTTTGAAAGAAAAATAGACACATTTTTAACAAAACAGCATACATTACGCCAAATGTAGTTTATTGTCAAGTTAAAGCCCTGGCCTGTTTCTCTTCAATGATTTGGTCCCATCTTTGGGCATTTAGTGACAATGACACTAAAGTGTATTACAGTACTTATGTCCAGGCTACTGAGTATTTTTTTTCGCCATCTTTCCGTAAAATCCTGCTTCACAAAGATCAGGTGTTGGAAATGAAGAAGTGCTTTTTTTAGCGGTTTTGAAGGCTTTGTCATATTTCCAAGGTTGTCAACACACATTCGGCTGAGCGAGCTTGGTGCGTGAGAGTCACCTGTAACAAGAAACCCGCATCTTAACTAGGACCTCTAACTCATTTTTAGGGCCTTATTTAGTTTTATTTTACTGATGTATCATCATGTGACCAAGACAAATCGGTTTGACATGTACAGAGGCATTGGCAGATGCACCTGATCTTCAAATATAAAACTTGCCTACTGTCATTTGTACACCACATTTGATCATTTTTTTTCACGAAGCAAGCATCGGTGTGAAGCCTTCAGTGTTTAGCGTCAAAGGTATACTGTTTATGGACTTTGCAGTGCTCAAACTCTTGAGTGGAGTTGTGATGATCTTTTGGTGCTCCGTCACACTGACATGTTTGATAAATACTGTCAGCCAACCGCTCCTCTGATCTCATTTCGCTGTTGGTTTTGCGATGTTTTATGGCATATGGGCTTGCTTGCACTCTTTCTACCAAGCGCGTTCCCACGAGCAACCCATATAAAATATTTTATTACTTTGCTTTGTTATTACTTTGAGAGCTTTGTAATCTTTGTCGCAGGCAATTCATGTTAAAGTGAGTGTGTCGCGTACTAACACTGCATGCAATGTCCCCAGACTGTTCTAGGAGCCGAGGGCTTGTCGCTCGCGTTCCGCCACATCGTCAGCTCGTTGTTGTGGTACTGTACCCAGCATTCGGCCGAAGAACTGCTCCACGAAGTCATCATCTGTGTCGGATACTTTACTGTCAATCACCCGGACAACCAGGTAAATGAGCTGTAAAATATATATCTGCATTTACCTCCCAACAATACTCACCGGCCACAACATTATGACCACCTGCACAACCAATGAGATCCAAGACCAGCTCTACCAAAAATTCCGCCCGTACAAATTTGGTTTGATTGAGTTTATTATTTTGGGTGTTAGTGTGCAGAGCTGCACTATTGCGCTCTATCTCGCAGAGAGCTGTTCCTAATTATTTCCTCATTTGGCTTCCGAGTCCGTATATAAACATTTGTCTTGTATTGGATCTGGTATTGTGCAAGTGACTACAATGTAGTGGTTAGTGTTGTGTATATTAAGTATACAATAATTGGAAAAAATTCCATTTTTGAGCAACTTGTTGAAATTAATTGAAGATAGACGCTTTAATAAGACAAATGACCATGGAAATTTTTACTGGACGTATTTGTGTGCTTTGTAAGTGGTGGCTAATTTACTTTCAAACACTCACTCGAAATATGTTACTGGCTGATATTTGATGACAACAAATTGTAAAATATATGGAACAAAGAGATGATTTTTATTTGCCTTAATGCATTTTCTTTTTTTCAGAAATGCAACATGATACAATAATTAGGTTAGATTAACTGGCTCATTGCTTGGGTATAATTAGATGACTGATTATGTAGTATTCTTCAAGCAAGTAGATATATTTTATCTGTTTCCAAAAGTACCTGTTTTCAAACTCATTTCATTGCAAACACCTTACCTGTGGCATCTGTGTTGCCTGCTGCCCCACCGAGAGGACCCATCCATCCCACTCACTCCTGTAGTGGCCCTGAAAGCATGCACAACTCCGCTTTCAATCCACTTACGAGACAGCGATGTGCACCGGCAGATCTGGCTGCTGTGTAATTGGCTGTCATGCATGGCCCGTCTACCCGCCTCCTGATCAGCTACACTTGGCTGCCCTCTGATTGCGTTAAATCTGACTCGCGCAGACAGCAGCCTCTAACCTCTGACACTTCATTGATGTCCTCCTAGCAATATATAGGATGATTACTGATTCTAATTAGCCAGATCTTTCACTTGGAATTAAAGCAATCCCCCAACACTGTACAACACTCAGGGTTTCCTGTGATCTTATCCCTTTTAATTATTGTAATGTACAGAATCTGAGAGCCAATTTGCATTTCATATTGAATCGTCGAATGAGGGGCTATGATTAAATAATGTGACTGACAGGTTATTTGTCTCTGTGCGCACATAAATTCGTTAACCTACGCAGCCATGCCTGACCCTCTTCGCTAAAGAAAAATGCATGTTTCTAATTTGGTATACAGTAATATCATTAATATGTGATCTCTGTGAAAAGCTTATGAGAACGAATAACTTATTTGAATCTTTGGACTTTAGGTCGTTTAGTTCCCAATTTCCCACACGGCTCACAAACGTGGATGGGATGAGCATTGCCAGTGGCCCCGTTGTGGGAACACGTCCATTGAGTTCCGCACCGAGATGGATGATGTCTAGGAGAATATTGAGGGCAGCTTGAGGCTGAGCTTTTCTCCGGCTAATGCAAGCACTGGCACAGCACAAAAGCTGAGACCCGTGCGGTCGCCGTCGCTACTTATTCAATGTCGGCGCACCGGCTTTTGTTTATATGTGTGCTCTAGAAATGAAGCTGCTCATAAAAAGCAGAACTTTGAAGCATACGTCCTGATGCACCCCCCCCGCTTTGCTCAAGGGGCATGAATAATTCACTTTGTCAGACAAAAAGCCATTGCGGGCGCAAACATATGTAGGCCTGCTCATAGGGGCCACCGAGCCATGTAGCCATATGTTTCATTGTCTGCAAGGCAGGTCTATGGAAAGCTTACAGATCAAGGCGGAGCCAACAATATTATACGATTGCTGACGATTAAAACTGCACTTCCTCTTGTCCTGTGTAGAAATATGCGCACGTAATCTCCTACCGTGATTCATTTGTGACTCTTTCACTATGATGAGCTGCGGAATCTTTGAACTGGCGGAAATGTCATTGGAAGCTGTTGACATGTTAAACCACTTGATGCCAGGGTGCTTGCTTTGTGTGTAAATCTTAAGAAAACTTTTTTTGTTTGTTTCTTGGCGCACGTGGAAAAATGACCACACACGCACACAGAGTTCATTTCAGGTAGCATCAAAGGATTTATGAATGAGATGACATTAGATGTTTATCTTGCTGATTTTCTCTTTGCCCGCGTTTCCAAAAGTCTGCTAATACGAGCAAGAATCTCATGAGCTGCAGATCTTCTCTTTGCCCAGTATCCCACACACACACATCTTGAGCTGAGCTTCATCTGTGGGGTCATCCCTCTTGTCCCCGTTCCCTCAGAGGGCGTTTCCTCTGCCCTCCAGGCCTGAGCATGATCTTTAGGCCTGCGATTCCCGCTAACCTGATGTTGAAATGTTCCCTTCAGCGGCACATTACTGCCGAGACAAGCAAACCCTCACTGCCCGCGGGGTAAGTGCAACTCGCCCAGACCGTAGGGAGTCAGCGGCAGGGGAATGTTACTCTCTCTATCACCCGTAAACAAGAGGCATTCAGACGCAGACAGACACTCTCTCTCTACCGACTGGCAGGGAAGTGCCTGATTGTTCACCCAGCCTGTGATTTTTGCACTCATCTTCAAGGCTAAATGCAGATCCAATCATCTTACTCAAGCTGAGGACATTTGTATCCCTGCAAACCTTTTGGAGAGCGGATGTTAGGTTTGTCTGAACTCAAAGACTGTCATCAGCATCTTTCCACAGTGGGATTATCATCAGGGTGATCTGGAATGGGATGGCAGCGTCCTCCAAGATAGTTATTCGTTTTATTGAGTAAACACATGGCTCAGTGGGCTTTTTTTCTCTTCCAGACAGCTGATAATTAACCCTAAAGTCAAGTTGGAGTGTCTATGTCAATGTCTGCATTGCTGGAATTCTCTTATCTAAAGGTAGTTTACATAGGAGCTGACTCGTGTCTGGATAAACGGTCGTAAACAGTTATTTGGCCAACTTGGCTTTGTTTGTTGGTTTTTTTTTTTTTTTTTTTTTTTTTTTTTTTTGTGGCGCTGCTCTGTCGTCTTATCAGTATTCCGCTACACATTACATATACGGCTCTTGTTCCTGTGGAGTTGTTAGGAGGCTGTCCAGACACATTGATGATAGATAAAGATTTTTTTTTTTTTTTTTTTTGGGTGACTTCACAAACTGCTCATCGCTGTCCAGACACATTGATGATAGATAAAGATTTTTTATTTTTTATTTTTTTATTTTTTTATTTTTTTTTGGTGACTTCACAAACTGCTCCTCAGATTCCAGAGACCGTGCGCATGCAACATAGACATGGCCGCTCATTGATGCATCCACACAACAGGGCACAAAGTCAAGTATATCTCAACAATGAAAGCGCAATAGTTTGATAAAGACGTTTTAAATTTTGATTGACGCTGTTAATAGAATTTATTTGGCAGATGGTGATTGTAGTTGCAGTGTACATGTTGAACTTAGTTTCCACTTCCACACTTCTTCCCCCAAGAAGTCTGTGTGCGTTCCACAACATTAACTTTAACACACTCTTTGTTGTCATTGTGGACAGTGAGGAAGTTATGTCATGGAAGCGTCATAAAAAGCAACACTGTTTTAAAAATGCCAGGTCTCAGAGCAGCAAAGCTGTTTAATTGGGGGGGGGGGGGTTCCCACAGTCAGCGTTTTCACGTGTGCCAGATAATGTCAGGCTTCACTCTGCGGCTACTCGGGACTCAGATGGGAGAAGGAACGTCAAAGTTTAGTATCTGATTCGGAGTGGATTCCCCTCGGAAATAAAACTGTCACCCTCATAACCTCAAACCCTCTCAACTGTCATTCAAGTGTAAAAACGAGTTCACCACTGGAAGAAAACAACTGCCAACTATGGTGCCTTCTTGATAAACATTTGTTTGTTTATTTATTTGTGTATTTTCTTGATACTTGAGGCAGTACATTAACAGTGACGTGCACAGTAATTCTATTGGGCCAACAATATTATGCTTCTCTTAAATTCCTTGTCAGTAGAGTCAAGCTAGGCATTTTCAATCCTTTATTTTCACTTATTTGATTTGAGCTGAGGCCTTGATGATCGTACGGATACTTTTCTACCTTCGGTTTTCTCAAATGCAGTGGCTGTAAACACGATCACCTGATGTACTTACTTATGATGCATCATCAGGAGTGTTTGGTGTCTTTGCAAAGCATATTTAAACAGTCACAGGGGGGACTGAGGATTGAACCCACAACCGTGATATTTGGAGAAGACCACAAAGCTAAAGCCCGATGCAGGGTGGCGGTTCGAACTCCAAAATTGGATGCAACTTGACACACATTTTTAGTCGGTTTCTATGTCCCCGGGGGGGTCATTCACCTTTCAAGTTTCCGTTTCACTTTGCCCTGCTTTGAGCATGAGCCTTGCGCTTGGCCGTGGAGCTGAGCTCCCTCTAATGTTGCCAGTTTGTCTTTGGGCGGCGTTCCAGCTTGCAATTTCAGATTGAGTGAAAAGTAAAGTATCACAAATACAGCAAAAATACACACACTAAAAATAAGCGGCACTGCTTCTGAAAGCTTTTTCTCCCCCCACCCCATTAGTGCATGAATTTGACCAGTGGGTCGCACATTCCTTGGTGAAAACCTCTTATTGAATTAGAGAAGTTGGGATTGAACCTTTCATAGTTCCCTGCACTGCTCGTGTCCTTTCTTTAGCCCTGTACACACCAAACCAGGTAGACTTGGATTCAATATACAATATCCTACATTTCTGTGTCCTTTTTGCAAAAATCAATCCTTTAAAAAATGAGGTACTCTCACTTTTTTTTTTTTTTTTTTTTTTTTAATTGAAGCTAAAAGTACAATTTTATTTCAAATGAATTCATAAACACACTGCACTTGTCCAAATCGTTCTGGATGGAACCGTACCTTATGACATAAACCGAACTTCCCAAGTTGACAATAGGCACCGTCAACTGTGATGTGCTCCTCACATCAGACAGGACACTTGTTATGACACCTTTTGGGGTATTGACATGTCCTGCCGCCGCTTCTGTAAACAAGCGGCGATAAGAAAAAGAACTGTTTTGCCTCTTCGAATGTGTCCGCAGAGGGCAAGCCCTGAGACGCTTCACCTTGAGCCGATAAATGTGATGAATTATCACTTTGTTTATGCTTCTGCTCAAACTGGCCACGCACTATCAAAGGAGCAGCGTATTTTTTTTCCGAGTCTTGTAAATCGGAGTGAATTTATGACATGATGACCGGACGTTGCTCCTCACATTGCCCCCCCCCAACCTGTATAATGCCACTGCATTGTGTTCTGTCAGTCTGGGTTTTTTACCCTGCCTGACCTCCACCATCAACCTCTACCTAGCCACCCCCCAGTTGTCTGGGCATACGTTCCTATCCCCCCCCAAAAAAAGCATCTTGTAAAATCAGGAACATTCTTTTAAAACGGACACTAAAAGTGTTTACATCAGGGCTGGGCAAGCTTTTGTGCTCAAGGGCCACATTGGCCAGATGGCCGGGGCGTTCAAAGATGCAGTTCTCATGTTGGTTTTATTTCTATAGTTAATGTAATGATAATCCATTTCAGTAGGCTCGGGCTTTTATGCTATCAAAACAGCACGGCGTGGTACAGAGCTGAAGATAAAGATTGGTGGGTGAATCTGAGACCGTCACTTTGATTCGGAGAAAGAGAAATGCCAACACGTTGGAAGTCAGACAAGTTTGGGGACCTCAGAATGTGCATATGCAGAGTGTGCATATGTACAGTTCGAGCAGAGTATTCCTCAAGGTAGTTAGGAGAAAGTGTGTATCGCAGTCGCGAGAAAAGTTCATGGAGTGAATAGCAAATCGCATGCAAAAAAAACAAAAAAAAAACACCTGTTCAACTCAAGCCATGAGTTGAGTCAGCATCGCTCACCGTCAAGTAATTTAGTATTTTCTCATCAGTAGCCCTTTTTAGTCAGAAACTGGTCTCTTGGGTGAAACCAACCCACCTTCTACTGCTGATTTACTAAAGGATGGAAAATGTGAGAATGTTGCCAACATGAGGAACTCAACTTATGAATTCTGCTAGGGTTTTTTCTGAGAATGCAATCAAGATGTTCATCGCAGTTGACCTTACCTCTGCCTATTTAGGTCATTCATAAAAATATTGGTTTTCAAATTGGGAGCAAGAGTATAAAGTCGCGCGTGTTTTCAGGTGATCGTGCAGTCTGGCCGCCAGCCCAGCGTGCTGCAGAAACTGTGCCAGCTGCCGTTCCAATATTTCAGCCACCCTCGCCTCATCCGCGTGCTATTCCCCTCGCTCATTTCGGCGTGCTACAACAACGGGCCCAACAAGGTCATCCTGCAGCAAGAGATGAGCTGCGTCCTGCTCGCCACTTTCATTCAGGTAAAATTCACAATTTTTGGGGAAAGATTTGAGGACTTGCTGCGAGTAACCTCGAGTGCCATCAAAAAAAAAAAAAAAAAAACAAAAGTCCCTCAGCCGTTTTAAGGAGGCGCTCCACGCCAGTGCTTGATTTAAAAGCCGCTTCACGTGAGCTCTGGTCAATGTGTAACAAAGAGGCGCTTTTCACCAAGACGAATGGCTTCCTCGGCCAGTGGATTTCAGCTGCCGCTGCTGCTTGGATTCCCAGTAAACACCTTGTCTCCTTTATCTTCCTCTGACAACACTCGGCCAAACACCGCTGTTTGGACGATGGTTTGCCCGTCATTCACCAAGAGACAAGCTATTGTCATTCCTTTCAAACAAAGCCACAACGCACGCCGTCTCATTGTCGCGTTCGGGGGCCCCCGGGAGAATTCCTCAGAGGAAACACTGGGCGGATTACGGCTACTTACTATGCAGACAAAAGTCTTGGGACACCTGGTGATTAGCTCGTGATATAGCCAAACGCGGCTGAATTTGACCATCGCTCAACAGATTACAGTAGGCAATGCGTCGCCGGATATCTACTCCGCGCTGCAACGGGAAAGTGTGACCTTGAATCAGGTTTTGAGGCTTCACATGCGCTATATTGCCTAACTTTTATTGAACCACAAAAACATGGTGTGGTTGTCAACGGAGAGGCAAACGCCTACAGAGAACTGGTGCAAATAAGAATGGAGGATATTTTGAAAATCTTGTGGCATTGTTTGATTGTCCCATTTCCTGATTGCGCCCGCACTTTTTGGCGATAGAGACTGGGTGTAATTGGACACCATAAATTATTTATAGGTCTTGTGTAAATCATCACTATCGCGTGGAAAACACCTTTGTCCAAACTGGATCAATATTTTTTCTTTTTTTTTTATATGTTTATGTCCAGTATAATAATCTGCTCTTGCTTATTGTAATACAGATGAATTTGTTGTTTGTCAAAAAATATGTGGCATGAGAACCTTAAATATACCGGTAATCGTATTTTACATCATAATCACAATATTGACTGAAAAAATGTGTTGCAGTTCATTGATTTTTGTTTTAATTGTTCAGCACTACTCCCATCATATGGATCAGTCCACACATTGATCTGTAATTTTTACAAATTATTGACCAAATTGACTCCATAATGTTGGAATTATACATCTGTTGCCTGTCTTCATTCAGAACAAAAAAGATTTAAGGGAAGACTCTATGATTAATTAAGTGATGAAGTCTGTCCCGATATATTTGTCCGTATTTAGCTTCATGCGCCACTGTGAATTCAACTTGAATAAAGTAGATTCTTGTAAATTGCTCAAATCATTGCTAATGTTGACTTCTGCATTAATCTACAGGATTGTTCTTCAAATGAGAAACAATGCGACTGTAAAACAAAGCCGAATGGTAAGTGTCACACGGGCAACACTTTTGACTTCATTTTCCTCACCCCAAGGTGCTCCTCGGTTTACGACAGTTCTTTTCTGATGGAATGCGAACCCGCTATTGGAGTCACAATGACAGTTGATATTCGTATGAAAAATACTTCAGTGTCACAAATGTGAAACAATCAATGAAAAAGCTTAGCACGACGGAAACGAAGCACACCGTCCTCGTTATGTTGTTGCCATCGTAAAGCGAGGACACCCCGGGGGGGTTCGGTTGTGAACATTGTCTCTCACCCACTCTGGTACATTATTTGTGTGTGTGTGTGTGTGTGTGTGTGCGTGTGTGTGTGTGTGTGTGTGTGTGTGTGTGTGTGTGTGTGTGTG